GGGGTATGTGATGGTCTGGGGGGTGTGTGATGGTCGGGGGGTGTGTGTGATGGTCTGGGGGGTATGTGATGGTCTGGAGAGGTCTCTACTGCAACACTGTTGACAATACAGCCAATCTCAAGTCACACGCAAAGCAACTCGTACGTCAGTTTGCAAGTAACAGAGGATTAACAGTCAATAAATTAATAAAGTTCACTTACTTTTGACACTTCAGTTGAATAGCTTGTGATATGACTTGAGACTGGATGACTTGTAACAGCTTGATTGCAACTCTCACTGTCAATGTGAGAATTTGTGTTGTGTTAATTCCGATCTCATTTTATCTTGTAAACCAGAGGCAGATAGTAAAGAGGGCCCGGGGTATTTTATATCCCATCTTTTGGAGTCTTCATTGTGATTACTACTTGTATTGAGAGTTCGGCTGATCAAGTACTTCTGTAAGATTTACAAGTTACGAATCATCATTTTTATTTTTCCTTGACAGACTCGTCATTGATGATCCGTTTTGCCCATATTGTTTACAGGGTTCCAGGAACAGCCAAGAAAGTGCATTTCAAGTAATAGTTCAGAAGCTTGAAGAAAAGCAGATCTGAAATGCTGATCAATGCAGGTTTGCATATAATTCTGGGATTAAAAAAATAATAAAGCATGAACCCCCCAAAAAAGGGCCACAACGTTGTATGGCTACGACTCTATCTGGCATTATCTGCAAGGGTCTACTTTTACAACTTAAAAAAAAAACCGAATCCTATGCCAAAAAATTCTAACAGTCAGTGAAGTTGCATGATGGGTAAATGTGTCTCTTGTCCACTCTGTGAGGAAGTGCCCCCCTCCAGGGCAAAGAAGACGGGAGCTGGTGGGGACCATTTCAACTGCAACCGTATATATTCCAACAGTAATTGGTAATCCCAAGTGTGCATGCACCTGTGTGCCAACCTTGCATGGACTCGTGAACAAAAGCAGTCCTCAGACTGCATGTTGTGCAAACATTGTGTGGACTTTGAAGCCAGCTCCACACGAGATTATCCTCTTTCTGGTAAACAGCTGTAGAGCTTCAAAGAGTGTTCACGATGCAAGAAGAAGGCACATTTTCCACCAAGTTTTCTTCACACAAAACAAAATTAGGAATGTCCACGCTAGGTCGGTAAGATAAATGAGGTGCGTCCCCACTGTACGGACATGACTACTATGTAAAACACAGCATTTCTTGTTCATACATGGAGCGAAATGTATCAACCCCATCCATGTAGTCACCTGGGCAAAATACGGCAAGCAAAGGCTGATTTGAATAAACAAGAGAACACTTTAATATCATCAATGCAGTTTATGGATAGTGTACAGTTCTTTACATATAATCTGTAAAAATTAATAATTCATGGAAGTATTAACCAATTTACATCAGCATGGACACAGAGTCTTTTGTGGTTGTGATTTAAACTTACACTGCATAGTGAAAATTGGGAGGTTAAGCATATAAATAACAGCTGATGTGCTTTTCAATAAATAACGGTCATTATTGTTACTCTTCAAGTTCCAAGAATCTTTCTACAAAACTCAAATGTTCATTTTGTTTAACTGGAACAATGTATTACAAGAGGAGGAGAAAAACTTTGACGAGTTTGAAATGATTGTTTAAAAACTGCGAGAAAAATACAACAAAGACTTTTATTTCTAGAAATAAGTGTAGATGACCAGCGTCTATAAGGTGTTTTGACTAGTAGTGCTGGGCTCGTTAATTGTAAATATACAAAAGAAAAACAATTGGTTTCAATGTTATCATTGTTATGGAAATACTGACCTTAACGTGGTCTTTTCAAAGAAATATGTAAATAAAAAAGATACAAAAGTCGTTCCTTTCATTGCTTAATGATTTGCATAGAAAACTAAATGTAAACCGTTACGAAAATAGCATACAAATGGTTGGTCCAATAAGTAACATACAATTTCTTGAGTTCTGTACACCCAAAAAAAGTTCATGAGAAAAAAAAATGACCAATTCGGAAAGCAATGATGGTTTTTGGAATTCTTCGGAAGGTTGCATTGTTGCATTAACCTCTGCCCCAAAGATATAACTATTTTAGAAACATCCTAAACTAAAATTAAAAAAGAAAAGAAAATTCACCAAGTCCCATGTTAGGCAAGTCTGCTTCTGCAAGTCGAGCGTCTTCCCTGAACAACTAAAGGATAGATTTTTGAAAATTCACAGCACTTGTTGCTCGTTTACTGTGGCCCTCAAAAAAAAAAAAAAGGTTTACCCCAAATGAAGGCGAGGTTCGACTGGCCATTGATGTTACTGTTATTCCGAATTTTTGAACAAGGGTACATGTACTTGAACAAGGAGGTCAATTTTTTTTCTTTCTCCCACAAACTGAAACAAAATTTCTTCAAAAAAGACCTTTGCACTCGTCTTACGGGATCTAAGCAAATTTTCTGTAGAGCAAGTGCCCAACCTGAGTCCAGTTCATAAGTGACTTCTGCATGCGCACGCCCCACTGGTTACAAGTTCCCATTGGCTGTAGTTTTAACTTAACTCACGTCACACTTATGAACCGGGTGGAGGAGGCCCAGCTCACAATTATAGTTTGACATCTGCTTATCGAGGGTCTATCTGGAGGAAAAAGAGTTGAAGCCGATGTGACAATAGTGAACCCTCCAAAGTGGCCTCAATGTGGAATGTGTTGTTTGTAAATGTACAGCAATTCCTAGCTCTGTATAGTCTCATTTTCTCTCTGACAAAAACCTAAAAGGGAAAGTGACAAGGCAGAGGCTACATATAAATGCAACCTCTCCTGTCCTTAACGAGCAATGGTGTCCAAAAATCTCAAAATTTTCAAGAATGACAAATATACACTAGTAAATAAATTTCCCTTTCCAAAAAAAAAAATGCCCCTCAAAAATATTACAAACCCTTCGACACAACTATTCCTAGTCTTTTTGCATAGATATTGATATAATCCTGTATCATGTACAGATATAATTATATTACACAACTAGCACCTCATCACCAATAAACAATATAAACTCTACAGACATAAATGTTTCATATTTACCCAACACTGATTGCTAATTGTATTTTTCTGTATATTTTAACTAATTATACCAGCAATACAAACCGACACGAAGACTAAACAAAGAAAAAGACTCGTACAAATACTATAAAAGAAAATAACAATGAACCGCTGTCTGGGAATGGCTGGTCCAAGATTTATGGAAGACTTTGCGACACTAGTAAGTGGCAGTAAATGCATTTTTGTCAAGGCCGATAGCATACTGTTGCATGATGTGGAATGCTGGGTAAATAAGGATGCTTGTGTGTTACTAATGTCCTTGGCAGTGAGGCGGCGTTTAGATAAACTTGACCACGGCTGTGAAAAGTGTGTCCGCCTGAAGGACATTTGAGTATGGATGTCCTTTTTTCCAACGTGCTACTGCTACTGTGAATTCCTCTTTGTGCACATTCAGTTGAAATCTGGCCAGATTTTTGACCAGATGTAAACCAGTGCATGGATGTAGTGCATCTTTGGCTGGCTCTTACGCATTGGCCCGATCAGGAGCCTTGTGCAGTCTGATGCAGAAGGTCCACACCTCAGCATCACTTTAGAGCACTGGTCATCAAGCACTTAGGCTGGAGCCTTGTCTAAATCAACTGTCTAAGATAGCATGCGCATGTATGGCAAGTGGCTGTAGGTGATATCCAAAGATGTATCGGTTTCTGCTAGCCACAGCCACATTTGCACATGGCTTGGCAGAGTTTAAGCCCCAAACGTATATTGTCAGTTTGATGCCTCATCAATTCCTTGTGTTTTGTCCATCCGCAAAGTTCCCAACCATGCTATCGATGCTACACATCAATGCTTTTAGAGTAGCATAAATTCTGCAACAGAGCCTTTCTACCCAGCACTTAATCATGCAGGTAATACTGAAATAGTAAGAATACGCCACAGTGTTTTTTCTCCACAGGATGTGACTAATGGCCCCTATTGTGCTACTGCCAACTAGAGGTAACAGAAAATCTGAGCCCTGAAACTTGGCCAAGGATGGTGAATTCCACCTTCCCCCCACAAGAAAGGCATTCATTGTTCATAACATCAGTTTCTGTTAATATGGATCTTGCATATGATTGACTTTATTGGACTTGGTTCTTGTTCCTTTTTGGAGGGGAGGGGGAGGGGGTGCTGGGGGCTTTGAAAGCGGGGTGGGGGAATAATATATATCCTCCTTCCTGAAAGTACAGAACACCCAACTGTCTAAGAGGCCACATATTTTAGCACAATATTTTGAGCACACCTATGGAATGTTTGCATTTGTGTTCAACTCAAAAGGGAAAGGTGCGGTCTTAAATCGAAATCATGCTGTGCTGGAAAAACAATATCAGTATAACTCCGGCACTCGAGAATGTCTACATGTTTCCAGTTGGAAGCACTGATAGGAGTATTTTAACACTGCAGTCATTTTAGAATTGTTTCTGGAAGACGTATAGTAAGATCACACTGTTGGTTTAGCCTGTGGTAGGCACCAGCCTGACTTGCTTCAGATGTATATGGAATGCACACAATATCCAAAATCAGCCATAACCATCAGAGATTTTCCTCTCTGTGCAAAATTTACATTCACAGAATCAGAGCACAGTCAACTTGTTTTTGACATGTAAAAGAAAAAAATCCTCAGTTACAAAATTTTGTTCATCATGATCTTGTGCGTAATTTTGTCCTAGCTTCTTCCTAGCCACAGTTTTCCTTTGCAGAAGAAACTTCACTGTGAAAGAACAGTACTTGCATAGACACCCAAGCTGCTTTGTGTATCTGTGGTGATCCCTCAGCCAATAATACGGAGTTTTTGGAAAGTTTGCACAACATTCTTCAAACTTCTCAGCTCTGATTCATGTAAGACTGCTGACTGTCCCTCACCAGCGGCGAGGAGGAGCTAAGGAAAGGCGGTCTCATCTGGAATGGAAAGTGGGGAGGGAAGAACATGTCACGTCGCATCAGTTGCTCTGGGTTCAGCTGCATCCCGGGAGGTAGACTGGTTGGCAGGAGGTCGGGCCGGGCCAGCAGGGGCCCAGGCATGAGCTGAGGGGGGAAGAAGCGGGGCGGGTAGCCCATGACGGCTGGCAGGTGGGGGCCCAACTCTGGAAAGACAAACTGGCTCTTTGGTGGCTTGTCCGCGGTCGCCGTGCCCTGCACGCTGGGGTGGGGCAAGTACGGAAAGGCTGGCGGGGGAGGGGGTGGGTGGGGGGATGTCGCGGTTTCATTAGAGTTGGTGTTGTGCCGGGAGGGTGCATCCCTGTGCTCGGACGACTTGGAAGAGTAGGAGGAAGGACTCAGGGCGCTTGGGTTGATGACCCCTTGCATGATAGATCCCCGTGGGTTAGGGGTCATCTTGACCTTGTGCAATGACGAGACAGAGGAGGATACTGCTGCATCCTCTCTCTGGCGCTTGGCACCAGTCTCCTCCTGCCATCGAGTTCTATCCTTAACAAATTCCTTGGGCTTCCTTGAGGTCTTGTGCCTGCTGGTGTAGGCACCTGTCTCCCCTTGCAGCATGGGAGCCTCGTCCTCTTCCCGTTTTCTTTTGGGCATGCTCAAATCACAGGGCTCGTCCTGGAAGGGCACCGGGCCAGGGAATGTTGAGTGGGCGAGGAGTGGGGTCACCTTGCCTGTGCGATCCACACTGAATCCGTGGGGGCTGAGTGGTCTACCGCTGATATTCTCTTTGCCCGATTCAGTTCTCCTCCTCTTGCATCCTGACTCCTTGCTGGTCTCTGCTCTCGGCTCCTCGCTCTTTGGCTCTGCTTTACTGCCTCCTACCATGACCGGCATGGGAATGTATGCCATGAAAGGGTTGACAAAACGCGGAGTGACCACCACAGCGTCTTTGGGCAGATCAGAACGCTTTTGGCCAATGACCGGAGCGCTTGTCGTTGCCGTTGCTGCTGCAGCTGCTTTCCCAAGAGACAGATTTCGGAGGATCAGATCGCTGGGCTGGACGGCATTTCGGTACGGCATCGAGGTCATCCCTTGCTCTGAAGCCTGCGCCTGCACATGCTGTGTGTGCTGGATGACTGACGGCCGGGCAGACGTGGCGACCTTGCTGCTTGTCAAGGTGCAGCCGGCACCGGGCAACTCAGATGTGGCCCTTATTGGGTTGACCACTGCTGTTAGCGAGGTAGGTGCACAGCTGACGATGCCTACATCAGATGGACACGATAAGTATGCACTGTTTGCGCTAGTCGTAAGGAGGACCGAATCCGTCGTGGAAGTGCTCGCTGAGCTCTGCGACGATTCCAATGCTGCACTGTCTCTTAGAGTGGATGATGGGGTAGGCATCTGCATGACCTGCAATGGTTGTCCAACATGCAACACAGTGGCCATGTTGGAGCCCAGAGTCAAAGATGGGGCAGTGGTTGAGGTCAAGCCGGTGGATCCGGCCGTGTCTTCTATCTTGACAGAGCCCCCAGGGGCTGAGCTCAAGGCCGGGGTGGCCCCTGGTGGCAGCATCTGGGGTAAGGTGAAGATCAAAGGGCCCACGGGCACGCCCTCCTCTGTCTTGACCATGATGGGCTGAGCTGGGAAAGGCATGGCCGATGTGGAAAGGACAGGCAAGACAGGGTTGCCTGCACTGCTGACAGCCGGTAGAGGGGTATTCTCAACGCTCGACGGAGCAGTCTTTTCGATGTTAGCTGCCTGAGTGGCCTTCTGCTTAGCCTGCATCTTGGCCTTCTGATTGAGAATATCTGCAATGGACATCGTCTTCTTTCTGGCGACAGGTGGAGAGTTCAGCTGCAGTGAGTTTGCATAGAGCTGTCAAGATAAGAAAAGGAAGCGTCATTTCTATTGCAAAAACTGTTCCACCAAGTTGAAGTGTCAATGCAGACAAACATGAAAGATACAAACACTGTAAAAATGACACCAAAACAGAATGAATTGGAAAGAAATATTCAAAATGCTCCACTACAATGCAAGAACCTTGATACGTTTGTTTTGCATTAGAATATTTTCATGGCCACATCAATGAATACAATATTACAAAAAATTAAGTTAAATGTCACAACAAATACCCAACAACCATAAGTGGATATTAGGGGCAAGACGGCAAAGGGATATCAAACGATGCAACAAAGCAATGGCTATTACAATTAGTCTGCTGGAATACAAAATTACAAATTTTTAAACCATTTCAAAAAGGAAACCTCAGACAATAAAAATGTAAAAAGGGGAAATTTCCAAGAGTGACGTGTTTTGGACCGCTGAAATGATCAAATAAAGATAGACACAGTGGATCTTTGTTTCTGGGCCCATAGTATAAAGAATTATTGGCACAAAATCTGGCAGGAAAGGAGGATAAGTGGAACCATCCTGACCTGATTGTGTGCCTCCTTCTGCTGCAATGCCCGCTGCTCCTCCAGCTCTCGAAGCTGGTCCTTGAGCACCTTCGGCCGTTTCCCATCCTTGTGCCTCGACTTTTTCACCTTCAGTTTCATCTTCAGGGAGGAGGACCCTGGCTGGTCTTGGCAGACTATCATCATCTCCGCAGAGACGATGGGAAGCGGGGGGCTGCCACTGCTGGCGACCCCGGATGGAGCAGGAGTCAGTTGGGGCAGGGGCGGGATGGTGGCCACTGGCAGAATGCTGGTCGCCGACGAGGCATTCAGTACCACACTGGCCAGTGTTGAGGTTGAGACATCACTGCTTGCCGTCTCATGATGGGCAGTCTGAGGCTGACTGGCGCCCGACGACACCGGCTGGACTGGCACGGGGGTCAGAATGGTCTCGTGGATCAGTCCCCCGACAGCAGCAGTGGCAGCTGCCTGCTTCTGCTGGTCTTGGATCCAAGTCTCCTCGGCCTTGGTCATCCCCTTCGGCCGGTCCTTGGCATGCTTGTCCTTCTTCTTGTGGTGGTGGTGGTGGTGGTGCTTGGCAGGGTCCTTCTCCTTGTGCTTACTGCCTGGCTTGGCCAGTATGGAGATGCCCTTGGTGGGTTTGGCAGGGGGTGGTCCCGGTAGAGGCTTGTGCTCCTGCTTGTTGAGGTAACGCTCATAGGGAAGAATTAACCTACACAGGCAAAATACAGCACAACATCTGGTTTTAATTCCTTTCTTGAAACATCTTTTATGTTCATCCAATCACAGTGACACGTATGTGGCAAAATCCACTGTGGTGCACATGGCCATCATTTCAGTCATTTCCTCCTGGTCGGGGGGGGCATTAATAACCCTGTCTTAGTCCATGTCCTAGACCTCTATCACGGGGCAGCCATCTTACTTTTCTGCCATTCAAAGTAATGTTACCTAAACTGAGGCTGGAAGGAAAAGTAGTCTGTTCTCTGGAATCAATATGTGTAGCTGTATTTCTACATGTAGTACCAACATTAGGAAACATGACACACATAGCAGCATCTTGATAATGGTCTACAGAAGCCACTGGCAATGACTGTGGCCACTTTCCAAAGACACATCGCCTACTCCCTGCTGCAACAAGTTTCTTTGGGCTTTTCGGGGGTGAGCTGTTACACGAGGCCACAATTTTTATCACACAACTGATACTGTCATGATTTTGAATCGTTTAAGTTGTCAAAATTGTTCAAAGAGGAGGGAGAGTCACAGAAAACCTTATCGGCACAATTTCCATAATAACACTATGGCAGAGACTTGTCATAAAAACCACAGCAGTCCTTGTGATACCTTTCATAGTGTCTTCTTGTGCACGTCGCAGCGCTTGTACTCCCGACGCTGCCACCCAGGACGTCGTACAGTTTCTTCCACAGCCGTCGAGCCGTGATGGCTTCATAGCCGCCAAACTTCTGACCCATCGTGTAGAACAAGTACAGGTCAACTGCGGGAAGGAGAGTAAGGACACTGGAAATCAGGGGTACCAATCAAGACCGTGGATGAAGGACATTAAGTGCAGGGTATGATGACCATGTGATGACCACCAGTTGATTTCGCTTGGTGCCCAGGTTGCACTTTGTGCTGAGGTTACCAGGGAAAATCAATCAGAGGTCAACGCACGTTCATTACTCCAACGCAGCCTGTATACTGGTGGGACCAAGACAGGAGAGGGTATTTGGGTTCGGGGGGTGTAGTGGACAGTGGGTTGAAGAGGAGGGTGGACAGATTGGTTGGTTGAGGTGAAGGGTGGGAGTCTCGAGATTAAGGGATGGGGTCAGATGGGCATAGACAGGCTTGACCCCCCTATAGTTCTTCGATGGGAAAGTGAAAGGAAAAGCTTTCAGTTTAGATGAGAATTCATTTAACCTGAACTACACTACCTCTGTCAATTGGTCATTCAGTAGGTAAGCACTTGAAGTGTTCAAGTCATGATCGTGACATTTTCACATTTCTCACAGGGAAAAAGTGATCTACTGATCTTACTGAAACCCAAATTTTGAAAGGGAAGGGTGTAACTATGTTCACATTACATTCCAGTAATTCTCAAGGAAATGGCAAGACCCCTTTTCCCATCCCTCCTCCTACATAAACGACACCATAGAAAACCAAGACAAGAGTGGACTTCCAGAATTCTGGCCACTCACTCTGCTTGAAGCCCAGGTTGGGCACCCTCTCGATGGGGCTGTTGCGGTCCTTCATAAACTTGAACAGGCCGGCCAGGAAGGTGGCCTCGTCTTTGGGCCGGATCCGCTTCACCTCCGTCTTGACCTTGCCATTCACGATCTTGGTCTGGTACTTGCCCCGCAACTTCTTGCGTTCCAGCTTGCTGAGGTGGTAGGCACCGACTTCTCCATAATTCACCTGTAAAAATTGGTTGGGGTAGGGGAGACGGGAGAAAACAAAGGTCACATGTCAAAGGGGGTAACTTTGACGAGTGCCTGTACATCTTCTAGGTTTTCTGGGATATTTAAGACTGTTGGTATTTCTACGATATACTTTATCTTTTGGAATCTACATGTACTTCTAGTTCCCATGAATGTTTGCAATACTTTTGTTAAGGCCCAAAGACTTGAAATCCGGTAAGTGGCCTTCCATTTCCATTTTTTTTTTCATTTCCACCAATTTCTGCTTCTACAACACTAGCACTTCCTGTACATAATATACAGCAAAAAAAATGTCCGACAAATATCCATGACAAGTTGCAAAGACTTGGCCCATAAAATTCTGCAGCTTTCTCTGACTTATTTTCCCCAAGACTTCCAGGATTCTTCTTTTTGCTTTTCAATGACTCCGATCAGTGATGTACATGACTCCAAACTGGTGATGTACAAGATTGACCTACCTCAGCATGCTCAGTTACACCATTACTAGAGTCGCCGACCAAATCTTCATTACTGTTGCTACGGATACTAAGTTTCTTCTTCCTTGGTCTGCCTTTCATGTTTGGCGCTGTTGAAAATCATGAAAAAAAATTTGATAAAAGTACAATTATTTCTTATCAAAAGAATGCATTTCAAGATTTGAAGGTCCAAAAGGTAATATAATCTGATAAAAATCATTAGTTTCAATTTTCTTTTATTCCTTACCCTGAAGAAATGTGCAGAATAGCTACAAACCTGCATATTTTATTCTTTCCTCTCTTAAGAGTGAAGAAATTCTTTAATGAAATAGCTGGCAGGAATTTCTTCCAAAAGTTCAAAATAGCTCAGAAATGACAGTGGTGGTAGAGCTGGGGACATCTGATTTTATGTTGATCAAAGACTTATGAATAAGAAAATGTATTTGATTTTCCAGCCGGCTCACCCAAGTGGTCACAAAGTTTCTCGTTGTACCCCAGCGTCGGATGCTCAAACTCGTCTTTGCAGAACAAGATGCGCGTGTTGCGGTGCGGCACGGTGAAGGCACCCAGGCATCGCATTATGGTATGCGAGATCCACTGGTCTGGGGCATGCTCCATGCGCTTCAGGGTGGCGCAGTAGCGGCAGTAGCTTGGGTAGTTGAGGATGATGACTTTGTCACGGCCGTCGTCATCATAACCTGCATCAGTTGAGAAATACACACAGAAGAACATTACTTCTGTAACCGGAACTCAGAAAAGGCGTCTTTCCATATGAACGTTTTTGGTGTGCCTCAACTCTATCTGTATAAGTTGCAGAAAGCATTCACTGAAGTTGTTCAGCAGTGAATTGTGGCAAATGGGGGAGGATATCAAACGAACCAAAGGTGGCACGGAAAGGCGGCTAAAGTGTCCATTATAAATGATTTTTATCAACTAAACAATTTTATGGTCGACCACATTACCTATGCATCATGAACTATTTCCGGACTGGTAGCATATTGTGGGGAAGAGTGTTGTCAACATCACAGAAAATTGGACAGAGAATTTAGGGACTATTTTGAGTGTGCCCACAACCTTTGTTTTTCTGCAATGGTTCGTCAGGTATAACCTATAAGGTTTCCCCATAGCAATGGAACAAGCATCTGTATGTGTATTCACATACGATTAACATTTTAAAAAAAGGGAAGTACAAAACAAGCATTAGTGTTATAAATCATGTTCTGTAGTCCACTGTCTAATGAAACCAACTCTCTATAGCTATTCCTTTCATGGCAATCAATCTCTACACTCTGCCCTTCTGAGCAGAGTACGGTGGCTGCTTTGCAAGTAACAAGACTTTGCATATCATTTCGTGGACCTTGGCAGATTATAGTGACCCACGCAAAGTGACACTGTATTACACCTATCATGAAAAAGTGAAGAAAAAAAAATGGCCAAACATTTAACAGTTTGCAGGAGGGTATCAAACACAAAACTCGTGTTAAAATATAGAAATTAAAACAACCAAAGCTGGACCACTTTTATAGAATTAAAGGCCAAATTTAATGATGCCATACATGCACTTGTTCAAAATTGCAATGCACACACTGTAATGCCACAAATATTTGATAAATGATACATTTGGCAATAGTTGATTACACCCCAATTGTGACGACCGGCATTTTAGGATCGCAAAACATGTCAACTTGACACATTCTGTTAAAACATACAAACAATTTTCAAGTTAACTCTCCCAACAGACAGTACACTGTACCATGGTGGAAGGTTCCTTCATGTCTGTACTGAGTTCACCAATGTTGACACCATTACCAATACCACACACAACCTACATGTACATGTACATGTGAATATGTACAACCATGGAGGAGGGTACATGTACATGTACATGTACAACAGGTGCCCCTACATTAATGGACAGGCATTCCCACCATGCCAGCAACAGACATTCATTCCCCTGTGCACCTCCTAATGAAGGAAGCATAAAATTACAATGAGCACCCAACTTTGTTTCCTTGGTTTTATGGCTGTTTCCTGGCACTTCCAGATGACTACACATTGGCAGACCGTGGGTTATCCAATTGCAGCTATCCTGTTGCACATGTCATGCATGTACATTCTGTGCCAGCATTTTTTTTCCCCTCCTTTTGACGCCTACATTTTTGGTCACTTAGATTACAGGATTAAACAGGGGAAGGGAAAATTCAAATACAGGAAAAAGATTCCTATATTCTGCGGCAACTAATTCAACAGGTTTTATGAATATCAAGTAATGCACATGTATGTATAAATGTATGCAAACGATACACTTAAGAACTTGTAAACTCAATCCTGTGGCCCTGGCATGACAGAGGGATGTGATTTTATTAAAAGAAAGCTGGACTGATATTCTGGAATCTAGTTTGAATAGCAAAGGGCTGGTGTTTCTTTAAAATCTTCTTCACAAAATAGAGCAGCGTGGATACTGCATAGATAACTCTACTCCACAATAACCAACTCAGTTAAGGAGGCTTGGAAGTATGTGCATTTGTTTCTTTTTTTTTTCGGCTTGGTGCTGTGAAAACTCCTTTCATCGTTTCTCCTTTCAGTAACAAATACTGGATCTTTGGTGAACAAGTATAAATGGGAAAACTCCCTGAAGTTGACTAAAGGGAAAAAAGAGAAAAACAGGAAATGGCAATCACGCTGAGCTCTAGCGGTTTTAAACTACAGCCAATCCAAACAATTTGTTTTCCAGCAAATATGCTATTTTGAGGCATAGATCCTATCACCACTGGAAAATACAAGGAATGGCCCTCCGTGGTTACACACTGCGCCATAATACATACTGTAGGGTGGATAAAATTCTCAACTCAGATATTGAAAGCTAATCTATCAAAAAAGGAACAAAAATAACAGAAACAAAAGAAAAACAAAAATACATGCACAAAATATACCCACCCAAGTAAACCAAACTTAACCAAAACAAACAAACAAACAAACAAACAAACAAACAAACAAACAAACACCCCAACAACCACCCCAACAAACACCCCAACAAACAAACAAAATGGTCCCACACCCTTCTTACCCATGATCTTTTTCTCCCTGTTGATTTCACTGATGTTAAGCCCACTATTCTGGGCAAACAGCGCCATGTGCTTGTTGCCAGCATCTCCTCCGCCGTCAGCCTTCTTCAGGTCCTTCTCACAAATTGTCCGGCAGCCCCGCGTCCACCTGACGTCGGTGCAGACCCAGTCAATCAGGTCCTCCAGTCGGAGAATGGCCTTGCCGCTGACCCCAACAACTTCATCCTACGTAACAAAAACAGAGAGTAAATGAACAACTGTAATTTTTTTATGTGTGCATGAATATCAATTTACTTTATTTCCATTCCTGTTCAAACTTGGGAAAGTTGTGGCATACCTTTTTTTTTCATGCACAAAATGTCTGTCTCACTGGCACCATTTCCCATGATTAAAAGTTACATGTACACTGTACCAACCTGCAACACAGAGCATTTTTTAAAGGTACACGTAATACATTTATTTTATTACAACCCTTTAAAATTTCCCCTTAAGTGTCACGTACGCATGCTTATTTTCAACTTGTGTTTTGCTGTTTTAAAATGGCATGCTGGTACCTGTTTGATTTTATGCTCTTGGAAATTTCCATATTCATGAGAAAATTTTTGGTGTTATTCTAGAGAGAAAAGCTTACTGTTGCACTGAATTTTGTACAAATAAATGTTTTTGGAATTTTGCCGCCTTAACTCCCTTTCTTTGGTGACTTGCTGTTATGTACATGTACATGTATGTAGGCCTACCGGTACATGTACATACATGGCAAAGGCCAACTGAAGCAACCCTTTTTGAACAGGAAAAAAAAAAAACACGAAAAATGTTTTCCCCAAATTATGTCGCAACAGTAGCGCCCGTACTTGTCCCCCAATACATGGACATTTTTAAAGGCTTGATACAAACTGCACTTTTTAAAGGGATGCCAAACAGTTTTTCATGAACTGAAGGTGTATACATGTATCTGCACTAAAAGTGTGTCTGAGAGAAAGTCATTGCATGGAACCTTTACACTGAAGTCAGGTGCATGTGAATATATCAATTTACTACATTTCCAGTCCCAAACTAAGGAAAACTGTGGTACGCCAACTGCATGTTTAAAAGCTTGTCTCGTTGGCACCGTTTCCTGTGATTCAAATACCACCACCTTACAACCCCTTAAGGTTTTTAAAGCTGGAAACACCTATTTTGACAAGTCTCTCATAACAGCATTAACCCAAGCCTGGTGGTGAGAGGTACATGAACTACCGGTAAGTACACGTGTGCTTGTCAGCCCCGAGGTCAGGTGCTGTGTTGGACTGGTGATGTGCGGCAAGCAAATTACAACTTGAAAATTCCATCTTGATCTATTAGTTTTAGAGCAATATTTACACAGACAAGACAAGAAGTCTAAAAACTGAATACCACACAAAGTACACTGTAAATAGGGTAAGTTGTATTAGAAGCATTTTTCCCAATAGTAGGGAAAACACTGACTGGTCTGATTTACCAAGTTTTTGCATTTGCTGTTGCACGCTTTTTGAAGCTACATGTACTTAGTGTGAAAACACTACTAAGTTAAAGTCCCTTTAATATTTTCCAAATGTACATGTATATGCATAAGATTTTTACAAATCAGATATTTCTCACTTGTTAAAATACAACTTTATTCAGTTGCATTTCATTTGGTCTCCCAGGTTTAATTTGCTTTCCTAATTCTACTTTGACCAGCACATTTTAGACAAGATTTCAAGCACACCAATGAATATCCTCGAACAACAATGTTTTCCTGTGCATTGATCTACTCATCTACTGGTACATGTACAGTTGGGCCATTTATGAATGTACATGTACATGTGTATGGGTGGAAACTGTCCCTATCAATTGAAAGCAGAAAGGAAAAAAAAAGCCACAGCAGGAATTTCCTGGAATGTTTTTGCAATTATAAAAATGGCTTGTTGAGCCATCTCGGGTAATTCGGCTGTTCTATACAGCCTGGCCTCTTCCCATTCAGGCAATTGGTTAATATATAAACATTTGCTGCCTTATGTTTCAATTGACTGGTGTTTTAATATCACAATCAAATTCCCATAACTCCATGAATGACGAAATAAAAAGTTGTAACATTTAATAGCCAGATTCGGAAAGACACTAGGTTCAAAATTATCCTATTTTACGATCTGATCCAAACAACAGTGCATGTAAGACACAAATTTATTCCCTTAAAAAATCTGAACCAAACATCTGTGATGGTATCGAATTCCCAAATTGTGAATTTCCAACTATTCAAGGACTGAAAAATGTAAGTACGTTACACCCAGTTACTCAACTTCTCAACATGGAAATGACTTCACAAACAAAACTAAGTTTTGTCGCCAATTTTGTGCATGCTCCTGATACAATCTCAGACTCCACAAGGTTGCAATTCCCCAATCTCCCAAGCTCAACCCTATGCCCAAAATGTAATCGCCCTCCAGTGCCCAGCATTAGTCTGTGATCACATTACTGTAAACAGGCACTTGTAAGTTTTTATTTATTACTCCCCGACCTGTGGACCCTCTGTGCCTATTGTAAGACCACCTGTCCGCCAATAGGAAGGCTGGAGTTTGGTTAGGGAAAAAAAATCAATGTGGATAAGGTAGTGATCTATGGGACATGTGTATTCTACAATCAAGAGGAATGCAGAACTTGGGTGTAAAAAAAAAACAAAAAAGAAAAGAAAAGAGGGCCAAATGACCTGTCAAAACAGTACACATTGTACATGTGGAGGAGTTCACAATTTGGTAAATGTATATTCCACTGAGTGGCATGTTTTGCATCTTGTCACATGTGGTACCTATGCTGCCCCCATAATCTCTTTTACCAATCAAGCAGCTGGCAAAATGAGCCAGAAATTCCACGACTGATATACTTTTAAAAACATTTTGGTTTGTGTTGATCTGGTACATAATTGTACTTATATTTCAGAAAGCTGATTCAGCACCTGCCTGTAGGCATGAATGTGTGTGGTGTGCATACATGTACATGCTATGCAAAGAAATCTTTACTGCACATGTGCAGACAAATTCTGTTTATTCTTCTCCTAAAAAATTGTCACTTATATCTCGAGATAAAAATGGAGAGTACTAAATTCTTGTTATGCAAGGCTGGTGAACTTCCAGTGAAAATGACACATAATCCAGGAAGTGTATTTTAAGGGTAATTCCTTAAAAAAATATTCGTAAGCAAGTGACACACTCCCCCCATGACTGTTGAAAGTGGTAGCATTAATGAACCCGAAGAAAAAAAATGACATTAACTCAATATGTATCAGCAACCCAATCGGATATTAATTGGCATTGCCCAGAGCACATGTGGTTTTGTTTTTTTTTCATTTAATAAATACCAGCTTATTTGCAGACAAATTATATTCCTGAGCAATTACATGTACTTGTATCTCCCATCACAGTTGTGTAGGATATTGACTGTTGATAAATAGGTTATCATGCAGCAGTGAGCAGAGAGACCCCTTATCACCACGTCCCATCTGTTTCAAGTTTGATCAGCCTCCCAACTCCTAGCTTGGACCAAATGAGGCTAGACTTGTCCAAGTCTTGTTTCTGATACCAAATAACTCAAAGTAGCTATGCTTCTTGTGTGCACACTTCAAATGAGGCACCAGCTGCCTGAAATGCATAAGTATGACCTGCTCAATATGGTTAATAGGGAAAAGCACAATTCCAAGATTTCTTCAGAGAAATATCTGCTTTGTGTGTGAGGGAACATCAGATGAAGGACTTCAACATGTTTAAACCTGGCACTAAATCACACATGAGACAATGATCACACATATCTCTTGATCCTTCAACATCTATAAAGGAATAAAACTGGCCTTCCACATGTCAAAGTTGATGCCTTCGACAAAAAAAGTTTAGTTTCTCCAGAGAATTGCTCAAGAAGTTTTGCTGTGACTCACAGATTCTCTCCTGTTACAAGTAAAACAAATCCCACTCTTTCTTCAACTTGGTTGCCGTGAACCAACTTCCCAACCAAAATATTCAATGATTTAGCAAATTTAATAAACAATCAACAGTTACCAGAATGTACTTAAGCATAGTACATTTAACAAGCATACATAATAACTGTCAGGTACATGTACATGTACATTGTACATGCATGGTACATGTACATGTACGTGGAATGGCAACAAATATAGGACATGTTTAAATGTCTGGACAATTATTTCTGAGACAAACTATTTTGTGAGAGAAGTTAACTGCTTCTTTTGAGGGCCCATATTGGCTATTTGCGACAATTTACGTAACGCCTTACAGGTTTTTGCTACTAGAAGATCACGAATGAGGATCATGTTTCTTCCAAGGGGAAAAAGTGTTCACTTTCAGCATCATTATCTCCACAATATGTGGATATCTGATGCCTATATATATCCTCTTAATTACTTTAATTTGACTGATTTCTCTTAACTGCTTTCACCTCGGTTAAACGGTATAAAATACGGAATATTGACCTTTTATGAAACATAGGTCTGAACTGATTAAATTTTAAAAACTGATCACTGAAGAGAACAAAAGCTATAAGAGATTGCGAATGGAGAACATGTACATGTACACTGGAGGAACTCTGCCATTTTCTCTCATTCAAAACTCTCTCCATGGTGAAGGGCATACGATGCATTTGATGTCCCTTAAGAGATACTTCCAGTCTCAAACCAAGCCCAGCTGTCGTGCTATGATGCTAATGGCTGACATGACACATAGGTACATCAGGCGAATCTGAGTCACAGTGGACTGTAGAATACAATTATTGTGTCAAATGTTAGCATGGAGCCTAATATATTGCCCAGGGTCAAACAATCAACCCAGGGCTATATAAGTTTATATCTGTTTAATGTGAGGGGGAAAAAAAGAAAGTTTGAGAAGTGAGATCAGTCCATATTGACTAAAGTCTCTGATTTCCCTGTTGCTAAATTTTAGTTTGCCAATGTGCCGGATTTAAGATCAACAGAGATGTTTTGCCTTCTGCCCAGTTCAGGAAGGGTGCTTGTTCAGAATGATTATGAAAAGCTACGTTGAAGGAAGCTCGGCAAATTAGCCCTTTGTGTTACCCATCTGGTTCTAAAAATAATCGGAGACGTGAACATGTGTGCTGCTTATCTCATCTCCGAGAAATGTCATGTAGAACTCCTAGTCTGTAAATCTTATCTTTACTTTTTCATTGAGTGGCAAATTTGAAATTCCCATTGCAAGAGGTGTACACCT